TACAGGCTGATATCTGGTCTTTGGGTATAACTGTAATTGAAATGGCCAAAGGTGAACCTCCACTGGCAGACCTTCACCCTATGAGAGTTCTTTTTATAATACCTCGAGAACATCCGCCTCAGGTAATGTCAATAGATATTTGTCATATTGATGAAGTTTATGTCAATGATTTATTCTTACGTTTCTCATTCTTGATGGAATTGTCATTCTTCTCATTTTAACTATAATCAAAATTTCTATCCTGCAGTTGGATGAGCATTTTTCACGCCCTATGAAAGAATTTGTTTCCTTATGTTTAAAGAAAGTTCCTTCTGAGGTATGCAGTTATGCTTTTGAATGCCTATTTGTTTAGGTTTTCAAGTTTTCCCTGAACTCTATCTGCTTCCTATTAAAGTACAATGTTTTTTATGATTTATTAGCTTCAAGAAATATTCTGATGGGTATAAACTGCATGAGCCTGCCTTTTTTGGCTTTATTTTTTTCTGAATGCTGTAAAGTGCCTTATGCTTTTCTGTTATCTGTTTAATTTCAGAGGCCAAGTGCCAAGGAACTTCTCAAGCACCGTTTTATCAGGAATGCTAGGAAGAGTCAGAGTCTTCCAGAAAGAATTAGGTGCCACCTCGTGCTTAGTGTTCTGTAATCTATCTATTGGAACTTGTATCTGACAGAGTTTTGAGGTGTCAAAGCACCCGCAAAACTATATTATGTGAATGGTGTTACCGTGTTAGTTATGTTTTTGAAATGCCGTGCCAAGGGATGTTAAGTTCAAGTACATTCTTCCATTGGCTATTGTAGCTGAGATGCTTGTGTTTTGTGTTCTTAATAGAGAGCGCCCGAAATACCAATTAAAGGAAGATGCAGAAACCCCAAGAAATGGCACCAGAGTTGTAGGAGAGTCCACTGACACTGTGAAGGTGAATAGAGATGTAAGAGGTGAAGAAACTGTTCGAGCTAGGTGGGTTAATTGTGTTAACCATCAGTACTTTCTTGATTTTGATTGTATTCATGCTGACTTGATTTGATCAGCAGTAATCAGGGAAAAACATTAAGAAATGCTGGATGGGACTTCAGCATTGGTGGACCAAACAGTTCAGGCACTGTCCGAAGTGCAGTACAATCTCCACAAGTCTCAGGGAAAGGAAAGAAAAATTTGCTAATAATCAAGCTATACGGAGAACACTAGAGAGGGTTAATGCGCTTGATGAATTTTCAGAAATTTCCTCTGGAAAAGACACTAGAGATCCATACTATGATGAAAACCAGGATAGTAACTATGATGTAAGATTCTCTTTCCTCCCAAACAAAACTTGAAGCAATGGAAAAGTTATTCTCTGCATTGTGGCTTTTGGCATCAAAACCTAATCAGTTTTGTCTTACACCCTTAATTAAAAGCTCTGTTGCATGGGACAATCTATGGGCTTCAAAGGCTTGTTTCCCCCCCCCCCTCAAATTAACACAGTGAAATTAAACATATGACTAAATTTACATACAATTAGTAATACGATTATGCTTTTTTGAGAACTTTTTTTTCCTGTATGCTGATGATTGGGGCTAGAAATTAAATTCCCTACGTTGGATTTACCAATCATCTCTGTTAAGCTAGAGCCAGTTTCGTATAGTCCATGTTCTTATTTCTCGTTCGTACACTTATCTATATGTTCCTTTTATGCGCTGATCTTGGCACATTGTTTTATTTTTTTCTTTGCTTTCAGGATGAAATGTCTGTCAGTGGGTCAGGAACTGTTGTAGTAAGGTCTCCTAAAGGATCTCAATCACCTGCATTGTTTCACAACCCAAGCTCTCTTGTAAGCTTCCTTCACGTTTTTACCCACAAATTTTAAGTAAATAAAGTCTCTGTTCCCGTGTGTCCCTGCCATTGATTGTATTAGATTTCAATGTGCTGTGTAGTCTAGCAGCGCTTATTCTTCTAATGAAGATGCTTCTACCTTTGGAACTGTTGTTTTGCGTGGCCAACATGATGAATCCGGTTCTCCTCGAACTCCAAGATCCAGGCTAGGAAGTCAAGAGAGAACTTCAAGTGCATCTGTTGAAGATAGTGCATCAAATCTTGCAGAGGTGGTTTTTGTTTTTTATCTTTCTTGATCGGTTTCGTTATGTTGTAACCCTTTTTAGCTATTTCTTGTTTGGTTGTATTTGAATTTCAATCAAATGGGCTATAAAGTGTATGTTACGTTGATTATATTGATATGTTATATCATATTTGTTAGCCCAATTTCGTCCCATAGAAACATGAGTTTGCCATGGAACTTGCATTATTAACTTACAGATTCTGTGTATGGTCATGGTTTCTGTTGAAAAGCTCATCTTTTAATATGTCAATTCAGGCGAAAGCTGCAATTCAGGCAGGGTTGAGGAAAGGGAATGCAAAGGATAGATCTGGACTGAGCAAGATCAATACCGGGCAGGAAAATAGAAGTCGTCCAATTAACAACAGTTCTGATTCTTCCAGGTAAGCCTGATAAAGAGTTAACTTTCCACGTCTCTTATGCTGAGAATGTATACAGATTTGGTTATTTATTTTGGCTGTGATACTATAACTGAGTATTATTATTTTTCTCCAGAAGTTCCCGTGACTATTTGGATGCACGAAGATTATTTCCAAGGGTACGCCAACCAAGTGATGATGAAGAAAACGCCAAGATAATATCATCATCTGTCCCACTATCCATGTTGCTTATCCCATCCCTAAAAGAGGTGCGCACTACTCGCGTTTACTTTAGGTTTCCCTGCCAGTTAGCGTGACAGTAACTTTGAAATATTCTTCATATTTAAGTAGGTTGAAGCTATTTACTGTGAGGTTTGCTTGCATTTCCTCATTTTGTTCGCATCATAATAGTTTGTTGATGCATAAAAATACAGGTCCTTGCTGATGATTCAGAAGGGTCAGTTGTACGTGGAGTTACTAGTTCTCTCATAAATATGGAGGGTGCAAAGCCCGGATCTTGTGAAGCTCTTGTTCGCAGGTTGCTCGAGCGATTGGCAAGGTTAACTTTTGTATCCCACATTATCATCCCTTTTGAAAGTAAGCCATCTTGGTCTCTTTGAAATCATAAACTCAAAGATAAAATTTTGCAGCTCGAAGGAATCTTCAATGAGAGATATGCAGGAGCTTGCAGTTCGCTTGTTCAACAAGGGCAAGATGACTCCTGAAGATGCACAAAATCTGAACGCAGAAGCCGACAGTAGAGGAAAACAGCAGCATAAAGAACTTAATTCAAATTCCAACTTGAGCCCTCTTGCGAGATTTCTGCTTTCCAGGTTTGTTGAACTACTGCTCCATTAACACATGATCTTAACCCGAATCGTTCTGAAATCTTCGCATGTAATGCAGGTGGCAAAACCAAACATCGCGTGATCTTAACCCGAATTGAAGGGAAGAAAACAGAGATGGATTTTCTCTCTTGTTTTTTGTATTGTGTTTTACAGTTCTGCATTCCTTATGATTTTGATGTACATAACATTGTAAGAAATTGTGTAATTTTCATCCATTACGATCAAATTTTTTGTGTTGTGGGAGATGGCATCGATGTATAATTTAAACTTTGCTATCATCACATTATAGGATGTAATCTCACAAACATTAATCATTCATTAAAACAATAATCTCTTTGTATAATCTTGCAGAGCCTGCTTACACTACAGTTTTTTCAATGTACCTTGCAGTTGTAAACTCGACTAATTCAAATTCGAATTTTTTTCTACTCGACATATTCAAATACTCACTTCTAACACCACCGAATCTGGAGGTTTCGTGAACTTTGTTTTATTTCCTATTTTACTCGCAACACTTTCAATTTGCTCTTATTCTCTAGTCAAGACCTAGTCGCCGCCGTTGCTCTCACCTCTCCATATTGTCGTCGTCGTTGCTCTCACATCTCCATATCGTCACCGCTGGACACCCCCTGAAGTAACCGGGCAACACTCCTTTCTCAGGTTAGGTTCAAAGGAAAACCTTCTCTAAAATCCCGAGATGAACCAAACATCTGCTTCAAATCGCCATCGTCCGACAACTTCTGCAGTCGTTGTGGTCACCGTTCAGAATTTTTCTCTCCTCTTCTCTCTATCGGATCAGATTCAAAGGAAACCTCTTTAAAAATCTCGATATGACCCAACCATTCAGAATTTTTTTGTGACTATCTCTTTGTGTAGTCGTTAGATGTTGCGAGATTTAGGTATGTCGCTCGTCGTCACCCAAACTTGCTTTCCATCAAATGGATTCTCGATCCATGAACTAGAACCGCCACCATCGGGAGTCTGAAGGTAAGCTCTTCCTTTCTTGTTTATAGACTTGGTTTAGCTCAAGACTTTGCTTGGGGTTTGAGTTTAGGGTTTACAATGGTTGTTTTGAGAGCTATGGTTGTGGTTTTGAGGTTATGGTTGTGGATTTAAGGGTTGATGGGTTGAGGGAGGCGTCAACGATGAACTATGCTTGATAGCTCACAGTGAAGAAGAGATTATTGTGAATGAGGCTGCTCGATGAAGGTTTGAGAGACTTTGGAGGCTGCTTGGTGAAGGTTGGAAGGATGTGGAGATTGCTCAGGGAAGAAGACGACTAGAATTTGGGTAATATTATTTTAATTTTATTTTTTTTCCGACCTGTCTTAAAAACTTGTTTATTTAATCCACATCACAACATCATTAGAAGATTAACAATCATAACATCATTAGAAGATTAGCGTAGAATGACAAAAAAAAATTAACCCTATAAAGTTAAAGTTTAGTAGTAAATTGGAAAATTAAAAATAAGATAAATAAAATAGGAGGAGAATAAAATTTAAAACTTTATATTTATATCGTATTTTAATTATTTTCTCGTATCGTATCTAAAATTATCAAATCCGTGCATGCCGAGCAACAATAAATATATAAAAAGGTACATCAAATGGTTTAAGCAAGTGAACTAAAGAATGCTACCAAAATGTACTGCAATCAAATAGTTCTCTACAGCCGATGCTTCTAAAGTTTGATTCTTTTAATCAAAATCCATCGATTAACAAATGGGCTCAGCGCTTGAGCTGTCTCCTAGCCAAAGCAGGGGCTCTCTTAGGAATATAAACCTGGTAACTTACCTGCACAAAATAAGACAAAAAGATCCAACAATATTATAATCAAAACCTAACCTGCACCATTTCCCCACCCCGCATTACGGACATCGTCTTTTGCTGAAATTGTGAACCATCCTTTGTCTCATCTTCTTGTTTATCCGAGCTAACGTTTCCAGAAGGGGATGTCTTATCGCAAGTAGAATCACAGGTATCATTATATCTACCGACCGGATTACCACACTCATCGGGACTCACAGTTTGGGCAGTTAAATTACTCTCTCCCAAGCTGCTCTCGGTTGCCAACTTAGGTTGAGGAGATTCTAGTGCAGCAAATTCTTGTTTTAGGGTGGTGCAAGTATTAGGTGGTTCCTGTCCTATTCGCGACTTGGCAGATTTTGGCCTAATAGAAACAGAAGCTGCACAGTTGTCGGAGGGTTTTATGGCTTGGCAGTTTCTAAACCACCCTCGTCTACACTGGTTTCAGTTACCAAACTGGCCTGAGAAGGTTCTTGGGTAACAACAACTTGTTTCTGACTATTGCAAGTATTAGGTGAATCAAGTCCGACTCGTGATATAACCAGCTTCGGCTTATTAGAGACAGAATATACCTGTATTATCCACTTTTCTACAAATACCAGCGGGAACCAACCGAGCTGGTGGGGAAGCAACATCACACCCGAGTCTTGGAATATTTTCCATCATCACTCGTATTTGTTGTGTTCCTATCGTCCTTAGGGAGAGTGGATGAGTCTCTTCTATCCAGAGGCCGTCTAATCTGTTGGCTGGCTTGGCTTGTTACCACCACTCTACCATCATCTGCTGTAGGAGCTTTAATCCGAAACGAGACCATTTTTACGTAGGATGGAGATTGACCATCATCAACACTTATCATTCTGAGTAGTTGGAGGATTAATCTTTTTCTGGAGCTCACCACGAAGCTTTTTTAAGTTTTCCAGAGTACGTTGTCTTAAAATCGATTCAATATCGTCACCATTTAAACCATCAGTGACACTTGAAACATTAATTTCTTCAGCATTGCTAGTTTTGATGTGAGAAACTCCTACTTGCTCATCATCTGGAGGCTTTATCATCTCAGACACAGTATGGGTATGTTGCCGTAACTCCCTCTGACCACCGCCATCATTACTATCATTGCTTCTGCAGGATGGATAATCATCACGATCATATACATCTTCTATAGGCTCATTAGCAATCAGTTCTCTGAAGCTTTCGTTTACTTGTTCGAAAACAGTAATAACTGATTTCAGCCTTCTCGAATTGCCATCCTCCAGTACTCCCCCCTCGATCGAATAATCAGATCCTTCACTATATCTACTGCAAGAAGAAAAACTCCTTGATCGGCCCTTCCTCCTCTTGCTTCCCCTTTTAACCTTCTCCGATCTTCCGTATTTCTCCTTCCTTTCTGATCTGCCCCATCTATTCTCATATTTGATCGTCACTGTCACTCAGACAATTTGAGCAACTCAACGACCGACTACCGGAAGAACTCACACTCCCACCTCTCGTAGACTTCTTCCTCTTGCTGGTTCTCTTCCTCGTATCACCTCTCCTCGACCCCCTACGTTTCTTCACATTAGGAGAATCCTCACAAGTTTCCTTATTGTAGGACCACCTTCTAGACCTCTTCTTTCTGCCCTTCCTGTAACGGGACTGGGACCTTCGACTTCTACAATCATCCTCGGAAGTAGAGGATGAAACAGGCTCAGTATCACTTGAATAAGAAACTGAATCATCTCTTCGACGACAGAGTTTCTTGGATTTGCTTTTCTTGCTCTTAACCTTACTTCTCTTCCTCTTTCGCGACTAAAACGAATAATGCACACATATACATACATAGGGAGAGATCAAATTCACTAAGCTTCCATTCAAACATGAAATGATACTTTTATTTACTAAAAAGGGTTCGTCTATACCTAATTAAATTACCAAAATAAGTACAAACTAAGCCAAATCAAGAACAAAATACCAAACAAAGAGAGCCTAAAGATTACTTTCATCTTCCTAGGATTCCTAGACATCCAAACAAAGGGTAATTTTTTAAACCACTAAACTACAAATGCAGGCAATGATTGACCAAAAGCTTTACCTAGGGGTGAAAACGAGCCGAGTCGAGTTCGAGTATTGCTGAGCTCGACTCGACTCGAAAACTCGCGAGCTTAAAATTTTCAAGCTCGACTCGAACTCGAAATCCTGAACTGAAACTCGTAAGCAGCTTGAAAAGGCTCGAAATGAAAAAAAAAATTCTTAAACTTAATTCGATTGAAGCCTCAAACTCGAACTTGAACCTTAAATGCATGAAAATCTTAATGTATTCTCTTTAAAAAAATCAATACATAAATATTAATATTCTTAATAATTTTTTTTAAATATAATCTTATATATTATATTTTTAAGTTGCTCACGAGCTTTTCAAGTCAAGTATCAAGTAGTTCGTTTCGGCTCGTTAAGAATTCGAGTCGAGCTCGAGTCCATTCGATCCGAGTATTTATCGAGCCTTGATCGAGTCGACCTCGAGTAACTCACGATCTGTCTCGTCTCAGTCCTAACTTTACCCCAAAAAAATCACACTTAAAAAGGGGAAAGAATATAAATTACTAGAGATGAATCTTTGGAACGTTTCTTCTTCAAAGAAGAAGACTTTCCCATCTTTGATTCTTTTTTGCTTTGCCTCTACCGTTCATCTGCAAGGATAAAACAAAACCCAAAACAAAATAAGAGGAATTAAAGACAAAAAAATTTATTTATGAAAAAATAAACGGAAAAATAAAAGAAAAAATCGAAGAACGAAAAGATGAAAAAGAACAGTTTTCCTTATAAAAAAATCGTAAATTTTTTGGAAGAGTTTTGCCTCGGCCTGACAACCTTGATAGACCGATGAAACACGTCAGCACTACGACATGATCAAACAAGTGTGTCGTTTAAAAGGTTCCCACCGTTTTTGGCCTGATATCAAAAAATACATTTAATATTTGATTAAATAATTATTTTGATATTTTTTCTGAAATATTTTATCTTCTAATATTTCATTTAGGGACAAAAAAATCTCTTTATAAATAAAAATTATTAGTAACAAACGATTAATATTTTAAAATATGTTTTTTTTATCTTAAAATGAAACGTGTTAAAATATTTCAGAAAAAAAATCAAAATTATTATTCACTTAAACATTAAGATTTTTTTGTGTTAAAATAAAACATTGAGAAAAAATAAAACGTTGAGTATCAAAATGCTTTAAAAAGAATAAAAATGAAAAAAATTATTTTAATAAATATTAAATAAAAATAAGGACTAAAATATTATTTTAATAAATATTATAAATTAATTTTTACATTAATCTGCCGTCTTATCCAAAGTAATTCACAAACCCTTGTTGTTTTCATGTTTTAATCAATTCATTAAAATTATTGTTCTCTACTTTAATAATATAACTTTTATTTGTTAATTTCATAAAACATTCTCTATATAGAATATTTAATAAAATAAAAAAATATTTATGTAAAATATATAGGTGAAATATTTTATAAAAAAATAATAACAAGCAACACAAAACGGTAAACCAAAACTCATAGTATGTCATTGACTACTTTGGGACTAAATGTCAATTATGTCACAATTGGGAGAGAGGAGGAGAAGCACGAAGCAAAGGGCATTGGGGATTCAGAAAATGAATTAGGGATTGAGAAATGCGAATTGGGAATTAAAACATGTGATGGTCAGGTGAGGATATTACCCGAAGAGCTGGAGCAGGCTGGGAAGACTTAAGTAACGCTGGAAAGGGCCAGACTAGATGGCCAATACCTGCTGAAAAGAAGAAATGAAACAAAACCATTCTGTTATGAGTCTGTTATTGTAAATGCCAGCTGGCATAGCTAGATTCACATTACTACAAGTGTAACTAAATAAATTACCTGCTTGTAGAGCATTAGAGGCTCATGAAATGAATGAATGAAAACTTCTTTCTGTAATCTCTCTTATTTCTTCTTCGATATTTCTTATTTACTAAATCTAGTCCATAACAAATTGGTATCAGGAGCCTTAACTCCTGGCAAATTGCAGACTGGATATGCAAAAGAAGAACCTAACCATGGTCGAATCTACTGATCTCTCTGCCATCAAAAAGCAAATTGAGGATTTAAAGAAAACTGTGCAGCAAGCAAATGATGAAACCAACCCTCCCAAGTGGTGGGAGGCACAAAATAAACGTATCAGTTCGTTGGAAGCTAGGATGAAGACGACTCAAAGCTACATGGAGCAGATATTGGGGGTCTTGACAGGAACGGCGGTGGAGCAAGACCAAAACAGCCCTGAAACGAGATCGTTACCTGTTGCAATAGAAGGCACAAATGATGGGTATCAAGTTTTTGATAAAATGGGAAAAAAGTAATTGATGCAATGTCATTAATACTAGTACCATAAAGGTTGATTCAAGGCTGCATCAGAACACCAGTCTAGTTCGATATATCAAACTGATCTCGGGGAAACATCAACAGTTCTGCAAACAAGTTCCTCCAAATGAACCCTACCGTGTTATTCTTGGTGATGTTAGGGATAAGTTGTATCAGAAACGTGAAAGGTCTCGCCAAATGTTATCTCATGGTATATCTGACATTCCCGATGAAGAAATTTTCACCAACATTGAGCAGTTTCTGGAACCTCTTAAACTATATTATAGATCACTTTGCTCTTGTGGTGACCGATCAATTGCTAATAGAAATCTTCTTGATTTCTTAAGGCAAGTTTCAACTTTTGGCCTCTCACTTGTTAGACTTAACAATCGTCAAGAGTATAACCGCCATACAAATGTGTTGGAAGCCATTATCCAACACTTGGAAATCAGTCTCTACCGTGAGTAGTCTGAAGAACAAAGACAGGAATGGCTACTATCTGAATTAAGTGGAAAGCGTCCGTTGTTTGGTGTTAATCTTTCTAAAATAGAAGAAATTACTGATGTTTTGGATACATTTAGTGTCTTGGTAGAGCTTCCAGCATACAACTTTGGAGCATACATTATTTCAATGGCACCTACCCCTTCGGATGTTCTTGATGTTGGAATCCTGTAGCATAAATGCCATGTGAAACAACCCTTAATAGTTTTTCCATTGTTTGAGAAGACAGGTTTGCCTATATCAGTTCAAATTGCTACTTTTACGCCCTCCATAGTTGATTTTTCTCTGGGTAACTCCAATAATTCCAACTATCTACTTCTATCCGCGTTTAGAGAAAATTGTTCCAAGATGTTTAGGGATGTTAACAAACATGTTAAAATCTTTGATCATTTTTTGTTTCGACTGTTGTTGATGAGATGGAAGATGATTCAATTTGATAGGAGTTTGAGTGTGCCTAAAAGAGAAATTAGTTTATTCTGTAGACCAACAATTGTTCTGCTCGTTACAAAAAGGTGGGTTATATACAGAAATGAATTCCTTCAGGCTATACATATGTGGGGGTTTATAAGCTGCTATACTACACATAGCGAGACTGGTTCTTATGTGTATAACATACTAAAGAAAACTAAATATAACTCTACTCCTCTCGGTAATGGAACTCAGAGGTTGGCTCAAGTCTTTGCGAATAACCTTGAGGCATGCTTGGATGGTAGTGGAACTGTAATACAAATTTTTTATGCATCTCTAGCTTCCAAGAAGACAACATTTGCTGATATGTTGAAGTCTTACAAAGGATACCTTAGTGCTTATCAGTTTAATAAGCTACCAATTATGTATGGAGACAAAATGATTTACCACATGGTTGGGAACGCAAGTTCCCTTCATATTGTAGATTTCAGTATCCTATATAGTTTTCAGTGGCTTATTTTTATCCAACATCTCTCGAAGAGACCTGGTAAGCCTCCTAAGCTATGCATAACTGGAATTGTGCTTCCCCAATGTGGTTTCCGCACAAAACAAAGGATTGAGGCAACAGGTTGTTGCTTGGCAAATTATTGCAAGCTCTTTTTTGTTCCATTTCAGTACAAGGCTATGACAGCTCAAAATTAGGAAACTCTTCGTATAGAGGACATCAGGATTGATAGCAATGACTTCCTTGCTGTAATTTTTTTTTTCAATTCGAGAATCTGCTTGATGAGACTGTTGATGTGGGTTGTCTGAGGAATGTTGTACAAGAGTTGAGGGAAGTAAAAGAGGAGGCTAGCACCATGGTTGGAAACCTAGCAGAGGCCCCACCGACAATTGATTATTGTCAGTCTACCAAGACACATATTGAACGAGAGTTGAGGGAAGTAAAGGAAGAGGCTAGCATCCTGGCTGGCAAGTTAACAGAGACCCAACCAACTATGAAATTACTTGAAGACTTATTGGCTATTGCGAAGGATGATTTGTCCCAACTTGCAGAAGAGAAAAATGATATAAATCAGAAGTTTTCATAGGAGGTTTTAGTTAGGCATGGCAATAAGGTTAGTTTCGATGAGCTAAATCCGTTTGTCAATGAAGGCGACGAAGTGGCTTTTGTTGCTTATAGGTATAAAAGGTGGAAGCTTGATAATGATATGCAGTTAGATGCTCGGTGTGAGATTCAGAGTGTTGTTGAGGTTAATAACCAGAAGTCTTTCCTTACTTTGAATGCACTTAATGAGTTTGGTCCCAAGTACTCTGGTGTTAATTGGAGGCAGAAGTTGGAGACTCAAAGGGGTGCGGTTTTGGCTACTGAGTTAAAGAACAATGCGAATAAGTTGCCTAAATGGACTGCACAAGTGATTTTAGCCAAGGTTGTATTGATGAGATTGGGACATGTTTCGAGGACGCATCCTATGGATCATTTTATCCATGTGATATTGGGTGTTGTTGGTTATAAGCAATGGCTAATTAGTTGGGATGGACTTCCTTCTTTTGCAACTTGGAAGGATTTTGTGGTCTTGCTATCACAAATACGATACTTTGATCCTTGGGGACAAAGATCGTCTAAAGGGGGAGGAATTGTCATGGTCGAGAGAGAGGAGGAGAAGCACGAAGCGAAGGGCATTGGGGATTCAGAAAATGAATTAGGGATTGAGAAATGCGAATTGGAAATTAAAACATGTGATGGTCAGGTGAGGATATTACCCGACGAGCTGGAGCAAGCTGGGAAGACTCTAGCAACGCTGGAAAGGGCCAGACCAGATGGCCAATACCTGCTGAAAAGAAAAATGAAACAAAACCATTCTGTTATGAGTCTGTTGTTGTAAATGCCAGCTGGCATAGCTAGATTCGCAGTACTACAAGTGTAACTAAATAAATTACTTGCTTGTAGAGCATTGGAGGCTCATGAAATGAATGAATGAAAACTTCTTTCTGTAATCTCTCTTATTTCTTCTTCGATATTTCTTCTCTACTAAATTCAGTCCATAACAAATTATTACATGAACATTCCACCTGCTATATTTGTAGATCTACTTCAGAAACAGTGGTTTACATCCTAGTCTTTGTCGTCGCTCATACTAGGACAAGTATCGATGTATACTTTCGGTGAGTAGTCGATACCATCGACGATCCTTCCCCTGTTCTATGCCCAAAAAAAATGGATTAAGATTAACCTACATGATGTTTCATTGGCAAGAGTAAGTCATCGTCCCAATGGGGAAAAACGTTTTACCTCTCAAGGGCAAATTTTCCTTCTTGTACTTTTGACTCTTCTCTTGTGCTGCCTCCTGCCCGGAAAAGATCGAACAATCATGCGGAAGCAAAAGCAAAGTTCGGGAAATTTAGTGAGACTCGGTTATGATTAGTGTTTCGGGTACTGGATTTGAAATCAATATCGAATTGT